TCAAGAAAGAAAGCTCGGCGGATATTTGCTCAGCACAGACACGTTGGATTATCACCTCGAATGGGCTAATAGTTTTTAACTTATGGTGAAAATGAACTGTAAATCCTCCTCTATTTATAGAGGAGGAGGAAGGTAAAAAGGCAGACTTTTCAAATTTTGAAACGTTAGCCTCTTTCTCTCTTTTTCTCCCTGCATTAAATGTCTGACAGATTAACTGACACCCACTCAGTAAGACACATCAATCATCTTTGAGCAACGTTTTGTCTACTCGTCACACGTGTTTCAACATGTGTCTTTTCAAAATATCAGGCTATAGCCTTGGATAGAGTGTCGGCTAGGTTCGCTTCACCCAAGGTTGGGAGGCTTATGTGGACACCTCGACTTGCCATGGTTTAGTCAACCCCATCCATACCCTTGACAAGATGATTAGTGAAATCACCATGAAGAGAAGTTCCACCTCATATACTCCTCTATAGAAGACAACTGACATCTCGGCTGTTTGGGTGACTTGTGATTGATGGAGTGATGTGACCGTCAGCCACCTTACTGCTCAGACCTACATTTGACACCATTGCCTTAGGCTGTTTCATGATGGCTGATAGTAAGTCGACTTCATCATTTCATCAATAGACTCATCTACTATAAATACCCATCTACCACTTCCAAATGAGGTACACGATCTAACATGTATATTCAACTCCCAAACTATCTCTGACTACAGTAATGGAGTGAGACTGGAGGACAAAGCCTCTGCCACTTGAAATTTTACAGGTGAGCTTGTCTTTTGGTGACCTCAGCTCATTCACCAAGAATTGAGCTCTTCATTGAGCTAGTAGGTTTATTTGATACTATAAATTCTGTAGGAATTAGACTATCCGTGTACCCTAATCGCTCCACACTTTCGACCTCTCATGTATATCTAACATGTGATCGAGCTATATCCTTCTGCCTTTGCAAACTAATATGTGCCTTCCACCTCTTGCAGTTGAAAATTCCAACTCCACCGGCTACCCTATCACCACTACCACTCATGCTTACCTCTGAGCTTTTACTGAAGAGAAGAAATTGCTGCTACTCCTTCTAGTTCTTCTTTATTGCCTTTTGGGGTGCTAAAGGTTTGAGAAACATGAGTTGCAAGTTGCAAGAAATGCTTTGTTAGCTACTTAGCTTTGTCCCACGACCTTTTTTACGGTGCTGGACATCAACATTGTGGTCCAAAACCGCCTTATTGTTAACCAGATGTTAAAATTAGTTCTTTATTTTTTAAAAAATAAAAATAAATCCCTTCGAGTTAGTGTGAAATGTTAAATTTTTTTGTTATAGTTAACCGACATTAAACCCAAATTTATTTTGCAGAAAGTGGTGGAAATGATTGGTAGTGGGACAAAGAAATGCGATCTAATTGGTAAGACGCTTTATCTATAATGGAGAAGTCACAGTTTCATGTCATTAAAAAATACAAGTGATGGAGAAGAAAAATGTTTGGATAATTGATGCTGAATGGGTATGCCTTAAGTACAAAAGTGCAATACTTGTTATTGTTTGCATTCATATAATAAGTTCAATATATAAATTAATCACGTTAACGAGTCCCTTGTTAGAAAAATCTTACAAATTTTATCAAAAAATTGGTGAAATAATGTAGTAGTACCTTTTTCATATGGAAAAATCATTCAAAATATATTTCATATTTCATCAAATGAAAATTTTTTGTTGTTCATTTTAAAATATTAACTTTACGTTTTTTACAAATTTAGATTAGCAAAATTTGGCTGCAACCTAAGATTTTGACTACTTTTCAACCTAAAAGTATCAAGTGAGCCACATGTAGTCATTATATATGCTAATCATTAGCTCTCATACTACTCTTGCTCCTATTATAATTTATTTGGGGAGGATCCAACTGGATTAAGAAGATTGGAGAGTGTGGTCCCATCTCTAAATCAAAGAGTGCATTACTGCACATCCTTTAGATTATGCTACAAACATAGAGATTTGAACCCCTAACCTGCACTCAAGCTCGCATGCAATCATTTTTTATATACAAAATATAAAATAAAATCTCACTTTTTTAGTGACAAAAATGAATATGGGTTAAGTGAGATCTCACCGTTTTAGTTTGGGTAAAAAAAAAAGCATATGGTTCAGGTAAGATCCTATTTGTATGAGTAAAAATGAATTTGAATCGAGTCATTTATTTAACTATAAATGAGATATAACATTTTTGCTCCTAAAAAAATGACTATGTATAGGTAATGTGATAAATTTAGGAAAAGAAAATGGTAAAAAATCTAGATTGAGAGCAAATGTTACCAACTTGATTTTTTAAGGGACGTAAAATTACTATTTTAAAAATGAAAGATGAAAAAATTCATGTTGTAAAATGTGAGAGACATTTTTTTCTTCTTTAATCTTTATGTCTTTAGTTCTCAGTTAATTTAGATTTTGCAAAAGACACACTACTGTTTAACCAGATTCGACAAAAATACATTTTGGATTTTAACTTTCTCCGTCTAGCAGTAGTAAATAAATGGGCAAAAAGTCCCAGTGGCCCTCAAACTATTACCCGGATGAAGTTTTGGCCCCCAAACAATTAAATGTAAAGTTTTGGCCCCCGATCTATCCAAAGTACAAATTGTTAGACCTTCTGTCAAATTCATCAGTTAATACCGACGGAATCTACGATCACGTGAGAAGCACGCCAAAATACGAAGGGCATTTTTGTCCATAAAGAGCTGTCATCCACTTGAAGAAATGGGACTTCTTCCTGAACTTGAACAAAGAAAAACTCAATTGCAGCCAAAGAAGTTGCCGAACTGGAAGCATGCGAGAAACCAACAATCCGGATTTCCTATTGTGCAAGTGTGAGAAAATGTCGAGAGTCACAACTTCGTGGACCTCAAGAAATCCTGGACGGAGATTTGCGGTGTGCGCGGATGGTGGTTGCAGATTTTGGCAGTGGATCGACAAGGAGATGTGCAGCCGGTCAACGGAGATCATACCTGGGCTTCTAAAAAGAATTAATGTAGTTGAACAGCAAAGAGATGCGTATGAAGAAGAAATAAGAAGACAAGAAAGAAAAGTCGCAAAGTTAAAGGTCAAAGTGAAAGAACTAAAAAAAGAAATCTGTAGCAAAAAGTGGGTGAACAAGTGTCTGGTGAGATTGTTTTTGTTAACATGGATGCTAACAACTATAATCTTAGTTAGTTGGGGCAAAAAAAATGGGAATCTCACAGTTTTTAGGCAAATAGAAGGAGCAGTATGAAGATGAATGAAGTGGGTGCACGTTATTGTTTCTGTACTCTGTAATGACTGTATGGGTAGATGTGCAATGATATGTAAGTTTTGATTTGTTGAATGAAAATTCAGGCATGCTTTGCTGGGAAAAAATCAGACTATATTTGCAAGACTTTATTGTTTCACTTGTTTGTTGAAATACTCTGTAATGTTGTTTCACTTGTAAAAGAACTGCCCTGCTTGAAAGGAATGACAAAGTGAAGATCAATTGAGTCCCAGTGGCCCTCAATGTGAAGACGTAGCACAATTCCATTAACTAGATATACTAACCAGACAAAGACATGAACATTTGCAAAAGTGGACTAAGCAAATATAAAGACCATCATATTATATTGACCCTACATAACCAATGCTGATGTCAATGGTCTACAAAAATATAGGCAGAATGCAAAACGTAATCAGCACTAACAAAAGTTGATTGGAATTCATCCACTAACATCCAACGAGATTCAAGATTGTAAGACAAAAAATAGTTGGCAAAAAATGTGATTAGAGGTCCCTCTTCAATTAGTTCTTGACTGATGCTCCTCTTTAATTAGCTCTTCCCCGTCCCTTATCTTTTGTGGTTTGTCCTCCTCTCTCTCTACCTCTTCCACTCCACTTTCCTCTCCAAGAACCAACTGTGTACGGTGGCTCCTTACCCAAATATGCATAGTTAGCATTTATGGCTCCTTTTTCTGCATCAGTGAGTGGTTTTCGAGTTGAAGTTTTCCTGCTACGGGTTGGTGGACAAGTCTTTTCACTCGGGCCTGGGGTAGATGTTTGTTGCTACTGTTGTGGTTGGTGGTGCCCAGGTTCATGATCATGGACTTCATGTGGTTGTTGCTGGCTTGGTTGCTGTTGTGGTTGCTCATGCGCAGCTTCATCAACCTGCTGTTGCTGTGGTATTTCTGACTGCATAACCTCCAAAATTTCATGAACCATGTTAGCTGCTAAACAGGAAAAATTAAAAGTAAACATTGTTGGTTGTACTTACTGTTTGTCTCCTCCTTCTTGCATTTGATTGCTGCGTCACAGGTTCAGTTGAAGTATCTTGCTGCCCTTGTTCATTGGTTGGTTGCTTGCATGTTGCTGCATTATGACCAGTCTCCCCACATTTTTGATAATGAATAATGATCCTTCTTCTTAGTCTTCTACCGTGATTCTTGCCTTCAGTTGTGTCCCTTCTCCTAGCCTTTCTAGGCCTTCCAGGTTGAGTTACTGATACCGGGGGCTCCAATTCAGGCATTGTTGATGGGGGCCAATGATCCTCACCACTAATTGGTTGTAACACATTTTCATAAAGTTTCAAGAATAGCCCCCTACTATAACAAACATTCAAGTACTGCCATGGGTCTTCATTCCTCAAAAGAATGGCAGCAATGGCGTGACAACATGGAATGCCACTAACCTCCCATAACCTGCAACTGCAGTTCTTTTTCTCCATATCAACAGCAAATTGGGCCCCTCTTGGTCCTTTCACCTGGTAGCCATGCATTGCATTTTAAATAGGCATCCACTGACTTGCAATTTTTACCTTATTTTCAATAATTTCGTTGATTAGAGGTCCAGTTGGGCTATCATATCTTTCCATTGCTGATTTTCTCTTCCGGATCCTATCCATAAGGTACTCCCTGATCATTTCTAGCATTGTTATAATTGGCTGGTCTCTAGCCTCAAGAATATGTGCATTAAAAGACTCACACAAGTTGTTGACCAGCATGTCACTCTTTGTGTGAGTCGGAAAGAAGGCCTTGCACCAATGCCAAGGAGCTGGAGCATTTTTTTACCCACTGATATGCCTCGTTATCAAAATCTTTGAGTTCTTTCATTGCTTTATTGTAGAGTTCCTTTATTGTGCTGTTGGCAATGTTCCACAGCCTATCCTTAAGAGGCAAACCTGGATGTTTCTTCTTGAAGTTTCGATACATGTGTTGGACACAATACCTATGCTCACAATTTGAAAGAACTTCAGCTAATGCTCTATCCAACCCCTGTAAAGGAAGAAACAAAATATCAAGGAAGGTTACTATGTATATACATACACATACATAACATACACATGTTCACATTATTGCAAAGTGTATATGTGTATACCTTTTGTTGGTCAGAAATAAAGGTATAATGAAATTGATTTTCAATTTCCAAATCATCATTGAGGTATTTCAAGAACCATGCCCACTGCTCCGTAGCTTCTCTCTCTACAACTGTCCAGGCAATGGGCCACCACCCATTATTAGGGTCAACTGCAATGGCAGTCAATAACTGCCCTCTATAAGTCCCTTTCAAATGGCACCCATCCAATGCTATCAATGGTCTCAAATTATCCTTAAATCATTTTTTCCATGGCCCTAAACAGCAGTAGAGTCTCATAAATTTTGGGTTGCCCCCAGACCCTCTAAATGGAGTAAACATCACCTCCATTGTGCTGCCTTCATGTGTCTTTTTTATCTCAGCACAATATTCCCAAATTCTCTTATACTGTTGTTCAGCTGATCCCTTTATCATTTCAAGTGCCAATTTCCTTGATTTGGCTGCTATCCATCTGAAAATTTGAGCTTGGTACTCCTCATTCACAGTTTGCCGGATCTCCCTAACTGGGATTCAAGAGTTTGACTTAATCCTCTCCATGTACCTGTCAGACAACCACTTAGACTTCAGGTTTTTATTTTTCCAGGCGTGATTGCAATTTTCATGCTTGTCATTCATGCTTTTAACTACCAAATCAGTACTCCCAAGTGCTTTTTCAATTGAGGCAAACACAAACCATTGGCATGGGGCCTTGCACTTGGCTCTCACCCTTTTATACTGGTTACTCTCATTCCTCTTGGTGTATACTGGTTTCCCCATCTTGATACCATATTCTTGAACAGCTGCCTTAAACTGGGCTCTTGAACCAAATTTCATACCCAACTCAAATCTGGTATCAATTTTGAACTTCTCCATACAAAAATCTTTGTACCTTCTTTGGAATTGGTCACCATCTTCATCTTCTTCTGATGAGCCACCATCACTGCTAAGGTGGTCTGGGATTACATCTTCAGCCAATGTATCAGAAACTTCTGGTTCATTTCGAGCTTGTTGCTGTTGTGCTTGTACATTTTTTCTTCTCCTAACTTGTTTTTTTTCTGTTGTGACTGCTGTGCATCATGCTGTTGTGAAGAGAATGTGCCTGTTGTTTTATTATTTTGCTGTGAATCAGGCTGCACCTCATGTGTTAGTGGCTCATCAAACTGCTGCTCTGAAGTTCCACCCCCTGTTGTCTCTGGTATCAAACCATCCAGTAGTGTCTCATCGCCACAGTAGTTACCAGTGCTAAATCTGTCAGAGTCATGCTATGATTCTGATTCTGATTCTTCAACATCTTCTATGACTCCTTCCTCTGCAATAGGTTGTTCACTGCTATGATGGTCAACAGGATGCTGGATAGTAGAAGTTTCGAATGTGCCTTCTTGCTGGTCTGTTGAAGCAGAGGCAATACCTCTTTTTGGATCTAGTTCACTAGCTTGCTCATACTAGATAGTAGAAGCAGAGGCAGCACCTCGTTCGAATGAGCCTTGATGCTGGTCTGTTGAAGCAGAGGTAGTAGCTCTCCCTTCTAGATCTAGTGCACTAGCAAGCTGCTGGATGCTCTGTCCATGTCCAGCACTATGAGGCTGCTCTGATGACCCAATTTGTTTCTGTTGTAAACCTGAGTTCTGTAACACATCTCGATTGTCTTTTGTACCAGTATGTTCCTCAAATAACAGACCCATTCTAAAACCTTTCCAGAACATGGTTCCCCTATTATTCTTCCCTGCTCATCCAACTCCTCAATCACAACACCACAACGTTTTTTTTCTACTGGTTTAACAATCAAAGGAGACCTAAATTTTTCAATTTCTTCAGATGTCAGGTGGTTACAAAATACCTCCATCACCTTAAACTTGTAAGCCCACTCTGAAAATTTGTTAACATCCTCATCAGTGCATAACTCTCTTAAACCATTGGATAGATCTTTATTTGGTTCAACATAGTAATACAGTATAGCAGCTCTACGATGTCCTAAGTTTTCCACCATCTTATTCAGTTCAAGAATGGACATTTTCTCGGCGCTGCAAAGATCTATATCATCTACATCTCCATCAACATACCCCACATATTGTCCCCAATTAATTCTCCCCCCATGATGCAAACGTATAGTAAACCATTCAGAATCAGCCTTTGCAACAATTTTAGCCTCAGGTCAATACAATATTTAAAATAGGAAGAATAAATTATCTCACAAATTATGAGTCAAAACAGTTGTATTAGGCCAATAAACTACTATTTCAGTGGCCCCTTTTTGTCGGACATGGTTAATGGGTAAAATAAAAAAACAATGTAGGACCACTGAAGCGAATATTAATTTCTACAGTAAAAGATACCAACATATAGGACCACCAATCTTCCCGACAAACTGAAAATTTGACTAATACAATCTTTTTAAACGTTATTGACACGCTTTGTTCCTCTATTATATACAAACCATCACTGCTCAGACGAAAATGGAACAAAAATAGGGTCAGACCACTTACCGTAAACAAGAAATGGATCAAAGTACACGTCTGGCTTCCTTATTTTCCACTCCATTTCGCTTCAATGTCTACTTCCACGGTGCTGGTAGTAGTGCTCGCAGTCGGAAAGTTGCAGCAAGAACCGTTAATGGCAGGCAGAGGGAGAGATAGTGGAGAAAGTAAGAACCGTTTGATCAATATCATTTTTCGCTCCATTTCACAAAGTGGATGACAGCTCTTTATGGACAAAAATATCCTTCGTATTTCGGCGTGCTTCTCATGTGATCGTAGATTTCATCGGTATTAATTGATGAATTTGACAGAAGGTCTAACAATTTGTACTTTGGATAGATCGGGGGCCAAAACTTTACATTTAATTGTTTGGGGGCCAAAACTTCATCCGGGTACTAGTTTGAGGGCCACTGGGACTTTTTGCCCTAAATAAATAATTTAAGATCTAGAAATGAACAGCAAATGAACAATGTATGATTTGTGAGAGCAACGAGTGCTAGTGCTGCGGTGTACGGTGTACTAATTCATTTTGTAATTAAAAAAAAAAAAAAAAAAAAACTACCACCTTTAAGTGCTCTGTCGAAGCACAACAGCGGTCCGAGGTTCGAATCCCGCTAGAAGAAGTAGAGAGTGTGTGTCACAATCACAAATACTACAATCCTCGTCCTGGGTTCGGGTGTGTGCTGGATCTTCTTCTTCTGTCACCGTCAGGGAGAGATACATACATAGAGATCAGATTAGATTAGTACCATCACTTCCATTTGTTCTGCAATTTTGGTGGCATGTCTTGACGATCTGAGAGGGGGATTGGTAGTTTTGGTTTTTCCCTGCCTCTGCACCTGCTGCTTGTGGTCTCAGTATAACAAGATTGATTATCCATGTCAGCATCTCTGCTTTCCATCATCCTATTCTACTTCCCGGTAATCTCACCACTATTCTTTCCCATTCTCTCGCTTCTTCTGCAGTTTTGTTCTGTCTAAACTTCATCATCCTCCACCTCGAATTCTTCTTTTCTTGTTTTTCTCTTAAAAATTACTTCTTGTTACATACATAACAGCAATCATTTAAGCAATTTGGGGTTTCTCTCTGGCATTCCAACTTTAATTTTGACACCAATTCTTCTATCCATCTGTTTGTTTATTTAATTTATTTATTTTTTTGCTTTTTCTTATCAAAAAAATATTCTAGGTCTAGGTAGATTCCGTATTCCCTTATCTTTTCAAAGATTTCTTTAACCTTTCCCAGCTGCAAAAGTATTTGCAACTCCTAAAATACCGGTTGGCTTGTATGACAGATGTCTTCACCTGGTGATAGTGCTTTCCATTTGTTCTTATCTGTTGAAGAAATTTTAATCCCTTCTTTTTGGATCTTGTTTTCTTATGGGTTCTCTTCTTTGGCTACTTTCCACTAACACATGTTCCTGTTACGTTTACCCCTTGGTTGCTGATATTTTTGGACCGAACTCTAATGCAGGTCATCGTACATGCTCTCCTAGTTAAAGCACAAGCTTCAAACTTGTTCACATTGTAAGATTTCCACACGTAGTCATTTATTTCTATCTTTTTGTGCTGGCTTTCGCTCAGTTCCAAGTTGTAAAGGGTCATAAAAGTTTGCAAGTGCTGCTGTTTGGGTTTGGATTATTCCTTTTCATTCTTTCTCTCCTCCTCTGCAGTGATAGAGAGAGCAGACATTTTTCCCAGCTTAATGATTGCCCGCAGTGTGTTGACACGGGGGTAAGTTTCATTCCCGTTCAATATATATATCTCGCTGCTTCTATCCCATCAAATATAGCCATTACTTACTTATGCTTTTTGTCTAAAATGCAAGACCACCTAGTTATCATTATTGTTGGTATCATGTCTAGTGTTGTAGGCTAGATTATCTGCCAAGAACAAGTGATTTCTATTTTCCTCCTTTCTCGTTGTACTTGGACTCCTCTATATTCTCTGCAATCTCCATTAAAATGATCCCCCATTGCTTGTATGACTATTGCTGCAATTAATTAGCTTTCACTGATTTAACTAGTCAATTGCTGGGTTGATATTTTTGGCCATTGTAGCTGCCAAGCATACCTAGCTGTTAGAGTTGGTAAAATAATCTAAGAGGTGGTGATATGGAAGGAAACTAGCCTTGATTTCAGGTTATTTCTGTTAGATATCTCATGCCATATTTTAGTTTAGGACTTGAGAAGCAAATCATCTTTTCTTTCTTTTATATTTCCTTCTTCTTTTTGATCGTATATTTTGGTGGTTAATATTGTTGTTTCTCTTTTCTCTTTTCTTTTTTTCTTTTTTTTTTTTAGTTCAGACTATCTAGCTGTGAGAACTTTTTACTACTTGCTTCCTGAGAAGTGGTTATGTTTATTCCTGTTTGCTATTGAATTTTATTTTAAGGAAAAGGGTGTCATGTACCTAGTCTGTGATTCTTGTCTCTGCTATCTAGCTATGAGAACCTTTTACTGGATGTGCTTGGAAAGGCTTCTTAGTCTTGTTTTCACAACCACCAGTAGACTTTGAAGAGAACTTTGTTCATTATTTGGGTAGTGTTGTTGTTGATTGTATTTTACTGACTTGGATTGTCATTATTTGGGAAATTGCATTGAAAAGCTTAATGGCAGCAGTCAAAAGGATGTTTCGTGTGCCTGTGGACTTAGACTAGCTTTGGATGTAGGGCTTTGTGTTGTGAGATAGTTTTGTCTTTGAGCCAGTTATATAGATTAGCTGAAGTTGGTTGTGGTAATTTTTTCCTGGACAATTCTTTTATTGCCTAAAAGGGTTGAATTAATACATTCAGTCCTGCAGATACAAAACTTAGGCAACTTATATTGATGACAAACTGGCTGCAGATCTCATTGTCTATTTTTCACAGAGATCTCATGCACTATAAAGGCATCTCTTTCCATCAATAATCTGCAAATTTTAAATTTGAAGATAATTTGCCTAACTGAAACTTGGTCAGTAACATTCCAGCATCCAGAGGAAAAATGAGCAAACAGATTACAACCAGAAAAATACAAACTCATTCTAAGTTACTGTATTGACTCCTTTTTGTCCAGTTTTAAGAATGAATGCCAATTTATTAGAAGTTGGTTTATTTCCAACTTATAAAGTTTGCATTTTATTGCATCATTTCTTACTGAAGGTAGTGAAGCTTTCATGTTTTAACCTTAAATTGCTCAGGGATTTAGTTATTGAAGGTGTGGGAGAACTGACATGCTAGTGCCATCGTGGGAGAGGGAAAACAGCATGCTAGAACTAAATAACTGTTATAGGTACATGAGTTTAGGATATTAACGGCAGTAGGATACAAATCCTATCTTTACTTTTATGAAGTTGTCAACACCTCAAAACTATAAATTTTTTCATTTGCATTATGTTTACAATTACCTTACCCATCCACTGTGCGACATAATGTCTAAGAGAACCTATATCGAAGCATGTGTTGCATATTCATTAACATGGAATAAATGGTAGGATTGCAGGAACAAGGGCGAATAGAATCTGCTAGTCAACAGGAGGAAAAGGTGATCAACTTTTTGCTTTTTTCGTTGGCAATGAGATTGAGATTGAGATTATGGAGCTGTTTAGTATTGTTGTGCAGGATATTGACATAATAGTGACATGTAATGACCTTTCTGGTTCTATGAAAATGCGGAGTGTGAAATCTAGAGACTTGTCTGCTTCCTGGGTATGGAAAGACCCTGGTGGTGTAAATGGTCATACTTTAAGTTCAAAGGTATGTAGCAAAGGACATGTTAATTCTTCCCAATTAGTCCTTCAACTGGTTG